ATCTCTCTGGTTAAGAAATGTATTCTTATGTGTTAATAAATATGCTCCGGTAATAAAGTCTTGGGTAGCAGCAATGAGAATATCTCCATTTCTTGGTGTGACAAGATTTGATTTGTTCTATAGTAAAATTAAAGTTAATTAATTTTAATTCTAAAAATAACATCAATAAGACATAACCAATATTTTGATTTAATACTAACAATCATTAACAAAGCAGCTTCAGCTCTAGCTTCTTCAGTTTGTGGCAAATGTAAGTTCATTTCATCGCCATCAAAATCAGCATTATAAGGAGTACATACACATTCGTTAAATCTAAAAAATGTATATTTATAGTCCAGTATAAAAAACAAGCAAATAGCTTAAACAAACCTTAATGTATTATGTTCTAAAACTTTAGCACGATGACACATAATACTTAATCTATGAAGACTGGGCTGCCTGTTGAATAATACAATATCACCATCGGATAAATGTCTTTCAACAATATCTCCAATCTAAATGAAATATTTATTAATTTATAGTTTTTTCTATATAATAAAATAAAGTGTAAGTCAGTAAAAATAGTCAGTTAATGTTATTTACTTAATTTAAATGTAGGAAAATTAAGTAAAGGATTAAATTAAAGTAGTTAGGTTTTACATTATATTAATATTTATATATAATATATCATACTATAGGTACATATATAATTAATAACAATAGGACTGTTTTTTTTATGGTGGCACTTGGCTAGTTAGCTACTATTAAAATTATATTTAATAAATACATATTATTTATTTTATTTTAAATTTGCTAAAATAAAAATATAGGAATTTTATAAAAAACACTGACTTTTAAATCTTTTGCTATAGCCGGTCTATTTCCAAATCTCAAGTATTTTTTCAACTTAGAACCTTGAAGTTCAACAAAATTAGCACCAGGATGAATTTCGGGACCGTTCATCACCAGCTTACGCATTAATTCAATGTTAGCTAGACATACTTTTTGAGGATATGTTAAAATTTTGGCCATTCGAACTGGAACACCAACCTAAAAGACCAATAAAGAAATAGAATTTGTATTGTAAAATAGTTCTTGTTATTTTTAATTTTTACTTCTTCAATTCGAAGATTTGGATCTGGTGAAATGACAGAACGTGCTGTAAAGTCTACTCTTTTACCAGATAAATTACCACGAAACCGTCCATGTTTTCCTTTCAAACGCTGAACACAACCTCTAGCAATTTTTTTTGGCTAAACAAATAATATTACAATAGATATTTTATAAAAATAATTTTACTAAGATATTTTATGTTATTTAATACTTACCATCATTGTACGTGAAACACCAGATAAATCACTATTAATATATAAGGCACAATGTAACTGCAAGTATTCCCAGTCTTCGTGCAATAACTGGGGTTTTGCTCCAGACTGTTTGTGTTTTACAATCACATCATTTATGAATAAAACTTCTGATAATTTCAATGTTAAGTCATCTTCATTTCTAAACATTAAATTACATTAATATTAGAACCAATTGACAATTTCGAGCATAAACATTATGTTCCACAGTTTCATTATAATAATACTACACTTACGTTCCGGATCGTATATCAGAAACAGCTGAAGGACGAATACAATTTGGGGGTACTAACATTCTTGTCATTAACAACCATCCAGGATTTGATACCTCAGGATTCATACCCAACAATATAATGTCTTCATAAGGTATGGATAACAATAGACGCAATACTTCTTGAGGATTAAGGTTCTCATTAAATAGATAATTTCTCATGGTTTCAACTTCTTTGTTATATTTTACCACATCGTTCAAAGCACCTAATTAATTTTCATTAGAAATAATTATCATTATTTAATTATTGCATCTATTCTGTATTTTTTCTCATTTGTTCACGTGTTTACCCATTATATTATTTAACAAAAGGGTATTTACCCGTTGATTTATAAATAAATAAATCAATAAAATTATAATATAAAACTATTCATATTGCATTAATAATAAATAATAATACTTACATAATTTACTTTCAGCTTCTGTGCCAGGTTTTTTATACCTGTAACGATCATATGATATTTTTAATATACCATTTTTTTTCACTTGTCCCACAATGTCACTACAAAACGGACATATCTGCACTTTTTTTGCCTTGGCGTGGACTTCTTTAAAAACTTTTTTGCGCATTGTGTATGTTAAATTCTTGTTTCTCAACTTTGTATAAAAAAACATTCGATCTTCTTCATTTAATAACACTTTAGCACAAAAAGGATTCTGAAATGAATAGTGGTAGAATTGTATAAAAAAATAAAATTTTATGAAGTAATGAGGAATATATTGATGGATTGGCTTACTTTACAAATTGTCTGTAATATTGTTATAACTGAACTGAAGAATCCAACATGGAAAACTGGTAATTGTAGGTCTATGAAGCCCAAATGTCCTGGACAATCGTTCAATCCCTTGTTACAAGTCATACATGTCGCGTCCTTTTGGTTAACTCCCTGTACACAGAAAAGATTAAAGACAACATAAAAGGGATAAAATATTATTAGAGATTAGAGATTATAAGGCCAATAGGGAAATAATAAATAAATAAATCATGGCTAAATAATTTACTATAAACTCACCAATTTGTGATCGAGCACTCCATACGGATGTGGCGTACGTGAAGCATTGTTATTGTTTATGGCATATAGATTTCTTGTATTTATGCACAAATGTGACTTCCTCTGGATATCTTGAGGATTGTCGACGGTAAAGCTGATCTTCGATCTAAAACACGGAATCTATTTTAAGATGTCACTAGTAGGTAGTTTAGTAGTCTTGTGAGGAATACTTTTATTTTGTATTCTAATAAATGAGAATTAAAGTATTCCGAATAGGTATTCAAATACATTTAGAAAAATATATTCTGAATAAATATTCAAATACTTGAAAATGTATTCGAATACTATTAAAATATATTTTTTTTCCACGCTAGTAATAGTCAGTTTTAATATGGTTATAATTAACGTGGGTTAATCATATTTCATTCAAAGAGAAAAACCATTGTTCATAACTTTTAATGTGCCCGTTTTTTAATAGAAAAATTCGATTTGTCATAAATAAAACTATTTTTCGAGTACAAAAAAAGTATTTTTGATGAATAAAAAAATACAAAAAAATTATTCAGAATCAGAAGCGTATATAGAAATGAATTTGGGGGGGGGGGGGGGTTGAACCCTAAACCCCCCATATATACGCCACCGTATCAGAATACGTATTCGAATAATTTTTTTAAAAAGTATTTAAAATAGTACCTATTCGAATACTTTTATTTGATTACATTTATTCGAATACTTTACAAGACTGTAGTTCAGACATACTGGTAAACCAACACCCGAAGTTTTAAATTACTCACATAATACGCGACCCATCCGTGTCCCTGTATTGTTCCTTAACCATGTTCGTTACACCAAAAGAATTTCTATTTCAAATGTTCCACAGGCCGGATCGAATGATATTTGAATTTCGGTTTACCTCTGTAGCCAAATCTGTATGCTAAAATTATTATATGCTGTCAAATCATAATCCAACGTCCCAAACTCTCAATTCAGTGTTACGACTTACGACGTGTGCTCACTAGTCACTGCTGGTGTCAAAATATATAAAATTTACTTAGACATGTGTGAGCCGTGAGGCGGTATTCTAATCTATGACATTAGTGTAGAGACCACGATTTAAATCCTGAGATAGTATTATCAACTGTAATAGTTGTCCCAACGCGCAATCAAATAAATGTTATCACTTATCACATGGCAAACGGAAAAACGATGAGAATTTAAACGATGAGAAGTCACGTGATCCGGTACTAATCCGGGGACATAATATAATAGAAATTCGCTAGACTAAACCGGTTTAAAATTATCCCACATTATCGGATTATCCCGCACCGGGTCCGGGTGCCTATAATATAATATTTTATATGAAAATTGATTCCTTATTATGAATACCTACTTATCGTTCACACAGACCACAAGAAAAAATCATTTCAAAAATTTAAAAATTGAAGAACACATTGTTGTAAAATTAATTCAGTCATCGATCCGCTCAGAATCTAAAATCTAAAATCTAAAATATATCCAATAAATTTAAAATTAACATATATCATTATTATTATAATTTCTTATTCAGCAGTATTCGAAGAAAATGATAGACTTGGAATTTTAGAATCTAGGTAGTTGGTATTATAGTCGATACTGTAAATTTGATGAATTTACTGAGTATACCTTTATGTTACCTAAAAATTAAAATCCAATAATCACATTTTTATTTAATGATTCATAAAATACAATAAGCTTTTATAAAAATATACTTGTACAATGTACTTCTGCAGATATCTATTAACCATCTTAATCAATAGTTAAATTAATAAACAAAAATAGTAATTTAAATAATACACATATCAATATCATATTATTATAATTTAAATTCAAAATCATTAACTATTTTGATTTTTGTCTTATAAAATTTCAACCAACAAATATTGTTCTAAGGAAGACACGGAACTCTTTGATATAAAAAGTTGCATTATATGATCCGTGGATTCATCATATTGACTTTACCTAGCATAGGCGTGCGCAGCCGTCTTGTTCAGAGTATGCAGGAGCAGTGGCGGATCCAGGAGGGGGGAAAGGGGCATTCTTCCCCCCTAATTACCTTAGTTTCCCATTGTTTACACTGTGTTTAGCCAATTTTGTACTTTTGCTTCCCCCAAAATTAAGCACTGGATTACCACAGGCACCCCCTGAAAGTTATTTTAAGCATGTAAAATTCTAATAAAATATATACACAATACACAATATTCAAATGTTTTACTGTTTAATTCAAAAAAATTTACTTAAAACTCAAATAAAAATAAAAATAAAAGTAATAAAACTTAAAATAGTTATGTCATACAAGTTGTATAATTAAAAAAAAACAAAAAAAAACATTATCATATTAATAAATAATATATTTTATTATAACACCATTCTGCATTGTGTATAATTTTTGAAATGATCAATTATATCGTCGGGATTTAATTTAATAGCCATTTCTTGTTCTACCGTTATAAGCATCAATGCATTTAGTCTTTCTTGGAGCATAGTACTTCTTAACTTAGATTTTACCAAAGTTAATTTTGAAAATGATCGTTCACATATACAGCCTGTGACCGGTATAACTGTGAACTTCTTTAAAATGTTAGTAAATTGTCCAAAAATATTTTGTTTATCATAATTTTTTAACCATTGAAGCCAAATATGAAGCATTTTAGCGCCCAAGTTGCCTTTAATTTGTTTTGTTATTATTTCATGGTTTTGTAACAAATTTATTTCAGCTATTATTGCATTTAAAATGATTGCTTAATAAATTTATAAGGGGAATCAATTCGCAGGCGAGCGCATCGACGGAGGACGGACGAGTTTCGAGTTTCAACATAATAATATGTACACTCCTATAGTCCTAAGTCCTAGGCCGCACTAAAATTAGTAATTATTTTTCTTGCGCACAAAAGTTTCAATGAGCTTCAGGGTATGCAGCTGCATACCCTGCATACCCCCTGCACACGCCTATGTTACCTAGTATAATATAATATCTATCATTTATATTCTATGGCAAATCTCAAAGTCGTTGCAGACGACACAGTCGATTAAAAATTCTAAAATTTCAATAAGCAAAGCAGATATTATGAGTAAAAAATTTACTGCCTCCCGTATAATTTTATTTTTCATAAATCACAATATTTTAAGTTCTGTATTCTCTGAAGCGTTTCGTCATCGGCGTCACAGTTCTCACACTTTACGGATTCCGCCGAAAGAGTCGATAATTAAACTAAGTAAGTAAGTTTTTTTTCATATTCTTTTGGGGCTTAATTTTATTTTCATTTTTTCTAAAATATGTATATGAAAAAAAAAATAAATTATATTTCGCAATGAAAAAATAATAAAACATAAAATATTTTAAGTTTGAGTGGAATAATTTGTTATGATCATAACCACATTGACTACAGATTATTAAGCATTAGTAGGTACAGCAATAGGAAATAGTCATTTTTGCCCAAAAAAATACATTTAAAAGTGTCATAGTGTATTCGTGTATATAAATTATAATAATATACTCTATTTATAGTATATATTTGTCATTTGTGATGTCGATAAACTTGTGGACTAATTAGTTTGGTTAAATTTAGTAGGTATGAGATAAATAACTGAAATAGAAAACAAGAATACATTGCAGACCACAAAGATTTCTGTAAAAGAACACACGGTGTATCAATAGACCGTGTATGTGTGTTGAGCATAGGCGTGTGCAGACCTCTGAGTCAGGTATGGCTAAATTCAATCTGATCACCAACCACCTTGTCATGGTCATACAAGAAAAAAATTATAGACATTTTCCCTACAAACTTTTAAGTAAACCTTTTGTTGGTGACTGGAAAAATTCATCAATATTGATTTAAAATTTTACCCAAGTATAATCTAATAATAAAACAATCTATTCAAATCTATTCAATCTATTAAAAATTGTCAATTAACAATAATATTTATTTATTAATTATTATTATAAATTATTCATGGGAAATCGACTTTAGGGCTATTAGTTTACGAGATATAAATATTTAGGGCTTAGATGAGCGGAGTAGTGGACATAGGTCCATTTTGCTGGGTAATCCCGTAGGTACCACTCAACTCCTCTCATATAAACTTTAAATACTTATAACGCATAACCTACTCGCACTAAATTCAATTTTTATGCATCAAAATACTTAGCAAGATATTCTGCTTTGGATTATGAAATTAAAACTCTATGTTGTCATTCAAAAAATTAAATAATTAGAAGCAGGATTAAAAATATTTAAAAAAACACTTTCAAAAAACATTACACTTTTTGAAATAATGGGTGTTCAATTTTAAATGAATCGCTTTGTATAGTCTCTCGGGTAAACACAAACGTTTAAAAACTAAAAGTGCTATACCTACTTTTAGTCATGTCTTCATAATGTACCAACCCACCCACGTATGAAAAAAATCTCAGGTGGGGCTAAAGCCCAATCAGCCCTACCCGTGCGCACGCCTATGGTGTTGAGTGTAGAAGTTCTATGGATAAATGGATTTATCATATTAAATAATATATTTTATATCATCTATGGCAATCGCCAATTGTCGATATTCGTCTGCGACTATTAACAATTCTAATAATTTTAGTGAAAAAAAAAAATAATAAGCCATCAATATATACAGATAGTTCGTTAAGCAGTATATATTATAATGTAAGTTTTAACACGAATTCGCACGTTTCGTTATGTTCAGGTAATTTTCATGAAATATTTCGATAGTTTCAAGTTACAGTTCGGAACGAGATGAAGACGGATGAAGATAGCTGTTTCTTCGGTGACTTCACGTACTGGACGTTTGTATTGTTGATGCACTCTAGCTAGGTTTCACCGGAAGAGTCGATGTTTCAGCGTAAGTTTGTTTTCATATTATTTTGGGATTTAAGTTTACTTTTTAGGCATTTTAATAATTAAAAACATAATATAACGTAATGTTGTAGTAGAAGCTGGAAACTGTGGTGCCTATATTCTAATTTTTGAATTTTTTAAATTTTAATGTAACATTTATTATGCCTACACAAAACACTTTTCTACAAAAATTGAATTTTTCACAAAATTTATTATTTTAACGATAAATGACAATTTTAGTTCCCTATTATGGTGTATGTATTTAATACAAACAAAAAATTATTATTTTAAAATACAATTTCCTATATTATTATTTACTGGATACAAAGAAACTTAAAAATAAACAATATTATGATCATTGATTACATACAGAGTACCTATAATAATATATTATGCATGGAAAACGAAGGTCGAATTTGACTACCTACTTATCGTGTACACTTCAATAAACACGACAAAGAAATAATAAAAAACAAATTAAAAATTAAATACACATCATAGTAAAAACAAAATATTCATCGTTCCACACAGAATCTAAAATACAAATTATAGGTCCCCGATACAATTAAAATTTTCATAATATTGAATAATAATTAATAATTTTGTGATCAGCAGTATTCGTAGAAAATGTTAGATTTGAAATTTTAGAATCTAGTTGGTATTATAGCCGATACTGTAAATTTGATGAATTTACTGAGTATACCTTTATGTTACCTAAAATCCAGTAATCACATTTTTATTTAATGATTTATAAAATATAATAAGCTTTAATAAAAATATGCTTGTACTCCTGCAGATATCTACCTATTCACCATATTAATAAATAATTAAATTAATAAACGAAAATAATAATTCAAATAATATATCATATTTGATACCTTTTATTATAATTCAAATTTAAAATTATAAACTATTTTGATTTTTGTCATACAAAATTTCAACGAACAATTAATATTGTTCCTTAACATGGAACTCTTTCATATAAAAAGTTGCATTATATGATATCCGTGGATTCATCATATTGACGTACCTAGTGTAATATCTATCATTATTAATTTATATTCCATGGCAAATCTCAAATTCATTGCAGCAGACACAATCGTCATTAAAAATTCCAAAATTTCAATAAGCAAAGCAGTTATGTGCAAAAAACTTACTGCGTTCCTCATAATTTTATTTTTCATAAATCACAATATTTTAAGTTCTGTATTCTCTGAAGCGTTTCGTCATCGGCGTCACAGTTCTCACACTTTACGGATTCCGCCGAAAGAGTCGATAATTAAAATATTAAAGTAAGTTTTTTTTCATATTCTTTTGGGACTTAATTTTACTTTCATTTTTTCTAAAATATATGGTAAAAAATAAATCATATTTCGCTATAAAAAATTAATAAAACATAAAGTATTTTAAATTTGAGTGGAATAATTTTTTATGATCATAACCACATTGCCTACAGATTATTAAGCATTAGTACAGCAGTAGTTTATAGTCATTTTTGCTCAAAAAATTACATTTAAATGTGTCATCGTGTATTCGTGTATATAAATTATAATAATATACTCTGAGGGCCGTTCTTACAATATCCGCTAAAGTGTCGATTAACGCTAACCGACTAATAACAGATTTTATTACCTGCAGGATTATACGGGTTATGTGTAGGTTAAATTTAACCAGACATTGTAAGAACGGGCTAAAAAGTTTTATAAATCCACGAACACCTACTATTTTTAAATTACAACAAAATAACTAAAATCGTTATTCTTTGTTTTAATAAGTAATTTCGTCCAAATTTGAACTTATAATGTCTGTAAAAATTAACTGTGTTTTTAATAGATTATTTAGTTTTTTTTGTTAGAGTATGAACACTTACTATGAACTATTTTTGAGAATTCTTGTTTTACATTTTCAATCCTTAGCAATAAAAGTTGAATATTTTATAAATTTTACTACTAAATAGTAATTTGTAAACTATCAATTTGATAAATTTTGTTAAAAATTGAACTTAAATTTCTTAAAAAAATGGATCTTATATGGATCTTTATTGTTTCTCAATTGCTATTATAACTGCTCATGAGGAAACTTTTATTACATTTTCATATTATAGATAAACAAATAAGAAATTTTTGTATGAATATCTGACTACAAAATATTTTGAAAATTGTCAAGATTATGATGAATTTTGTTAAAATTTGAATTTTAAATGCCCGTAAAAAAACGTGCCTGTATATTTCTAATATTTTTCAACTGCTATTATATCAACTTACGATTAACTTTGTATTATTTTTAAGCTTTTTGACCCAACGAATAAAATTCATAGAATACAGAACTAAAAACATTTCATAATTCAAATGTCTATAAAACACTGAAAACGAGTCGAAATATTTTGAACATTATATAATGTATATTATGATAGTTTAAACATTTAATGGACATTTTAAATACCGACGGTTAATAGTTGTTGAATAACAACAAAATAAGAAAATCGTTATACGAGAATCATATACAAATCATTGTAAAATCAAAATATTCATTGCTCCAGTAGTCCACTCTAAAATACAAGCTAAAACACAAGCCCGGATTAAGGGGGGGGGGCAAGGGTGGCACGGTAACGGGGCCCATTGATTTTAGGGGCCCATCTTTATCCCCAATATATATTTTTTTAACGCTTCCAATACATTTAAAAAAATATATATATTATATTGAAGTAGGTATAGGTATAGGTAGTAGATAAATTATTATTACTTAATAAATAATAATTATAAAATAAAATTGTTCTCAATTTTATATCATGAAAAATTACTATAAATA